CCGCATGGCGGCTACGAATCGTCCTTAACTCCAGTTCCAGGGGACTCTGAAGCCCTCTTCTGACCTCTGCGGCATTGCACGACACAGGTACACTCACATGCATGCAGGCAATACACTCATACACATAAAATAAAAATAATAAATAAAATATTTTTTTAAAAAGGAGGGGGCATGAGGCCAAGGAGGAGGCTGTCTTCTCAGTACATGGCTAGCTTACTGTGCCTGGGCTTCAGCCCCATGTGACTCACTCTCTGATGGGTAATGGAGCACCCCTTAGCCTACCTTTTCTTGCAGAAGATCCTTAACAGTATCCCTTGAAGTTTCCTTAGTCAACTCTGGAAATGAGTAAGGTTCTGTTGGCGTCTAGAAGAGTTTGAGAACTCCAGGGGAAGCCATTGGCGTTGTGATATGACACTGGAGGGTACCTGACCATTTGGACGGTGCCTGTCTACACCTTGGCAGCTGTCATGCAGAGGGAGAATGGAGGGGAGAGATGTATGATTTTGAAAATGGGCAACCCACACTGATCTCTTTCTTCTGTGGGAAGATGAAGGATTATGACATGGAGAGTAAGAGCAAGGGAAGCCAGAAATCCTGCTCTATCACTCACTTCCTATATAATGTTTGAACTCATCTCTTCATCTAGAAGATGACAAGAATCCCTAATAGAGGGAAGTGGGCTTAGGAAACACGGGATGCCAGGCATTGGGTGTCAGAGTGTGTCAGTTTTGTAATCAGAGATGCTCAGTTAAGCACCTGTCTGTGCTGAATGCTGAAGGAATCATGCCAGTTGAAACAGACAGCTTCCATGGGTTTGCAGGGCTCAGAATCTAGAGGAACACTGTTGTTAAGTGAAGGAGAGGTACTTAGGACTATGGCACCTGTGATGGCAGAATTTAATGTCATTTGTAAGTGCAGGAAAAGTTTTCCTAAGGAGACAATTCATGAGCTAAAATCTACCAGAGTTGATTAGGAGGATTTTATCCCAGGCAGAGATAGCAGCATGTACAGGAACCCTTTGGCAAGAGTGATGTCAGGAAAGAAGATTCCAGGGCAGGCGTTCTGGCCCCAGAGGAAGCTGACTGGGTGAGTGCGGTGTGGAATGACTGGCCAGGCTGGGCCAGAGCACACAGGGCTTTAGGTTCCCCCATGCAGTATCCTTAGGGCACTGGGAAACCACCAGAGGCATTTAGGTAGGGCCAGGTGGACATTAGGTTAGAGGGAAGGCATGCAGGCATACCATCACCTGGGCAAGAGAATCATTGATGAGACTAAGATAGTAGATGCAACTGAGCCTTTCTCTCTTTTTTTTAAGACAGTTTCACTATGTAACCCTAACTGGCCTGGAACTTACTATGTAGACCAGGCTGACTCAAACTTACAGATATCTGCCTGTTTCTACCTCTGTAGGGCTGGAATTAAAGGCATGTACCACCATGCCAGGCTGAGATCCTTTCTTGTTGGTTTCACTGAGACAGGATCTCATGTAGCCTATGCTGTTCTCAAACTTTCTATTTAGCTGAGGGTGATATTGAAATTCTGATCCTCCTGCCTCCGCCTCCCAGGTTCTAGATTTACAGGCTGCCTGGTTTATGTGGTATTGGAGATGGAACCCAGGCCTTGTGCATGCTAGGCAAGCCTCCACCAGATGAGGGTTTCATATCTATATCTCTAGCCCCAGGAGGCAAGAAACCTTGAGTCAAATCAAAGATTGGTCTAGGAGTAAATCTGAGTGGTAGCGCTCTTGCCTGCCATTCACAAGGCCCTGGGTTAGCACCACCAAAAAAATCAGAAAGGATTTCTGTGGATACCCAAGAGAAGGGATCAAGGATGACTCGGAAGTCACTGCTGACTAGCTGAGAGGTATGAGGAGCCCAACAGCCAGTTATTGGGGGAAGGGGACAAGGAAAAATGTGGCAGAACTTAAACATAAAACAGCAGCACCTTGTAAAGGGAGGAGAGAGGGTTAAGTGATCCAATCAATGACTTGGGGTGGGTACGGGGTCCTGAGTAATTCCAGGGCTTGTACTTGGGAAGCAAGTGCTCTCTCGCTCTCTCTCGCTCTCTCTCTCTCTCTCTCTCTCTCTCGCCTTTTTTAATGGGAGAGAGGAGTCAATGTCAGGTATCTTCCTCAATCACTCTCTAGTTTTAAAAATTTCTTAATTGGGGCTCCAATCAATGACTGGGTGTGGGTGTGGGGTCCTGAGTAATTCCAGGGCTTGTACTCGGGAAGCAAGTGCTCTCTCGCTCTCTCTCGCTCTCTCTCTCTCTCTCTCTCTCTCTCTCGCCTTTTTTAATGGGAGAGAGGAGTGTGTTTACAAAACTGAGGATTTGTAAATTCTTCACCCAAGGAGAGTGAAAATATATATGAGGCTATGGATACGAACAGGCTTCTAGGAGACCAGGTGGATAGATCCTGAGTGAAGGACAAGTTGGTCAGAAGTCGAGAAGGAACTCCAGGGCCATGAGAGAAGAGGGAACTGGCCAGTCTGCAAATGGTCCAACACAGCCTCAGGGCCCAAAACTATGCAAAGAATTAATTACCTTGTAAAGTAAGAGATGAGGGCATCTGCTCAGGGTGAGAAGGGAAATCCTGGCGTTTGTGGAGAGTGGGTAGACTGGAAACAGTCCTGATAGTAGAAAGCACTTTGCCAGCCAGGTGCAGCAAATCACAGGGAGACTGAGGCAGAATTGCCAAGAATTTAAAGCAGCCTGGGCTACATAGTAAGTTCTAAGCCAACCCAGCATCAAAAAACCAGACAGATGTAATAGTACATCCCTATAATCCCAGTACTTGGATGATGGAGGCAGGAGGATCAGTAGTTCAGGACCAGCTTTACATAATTATATAATTCTAGGCCAGCCTGGGCTTCATTTCCAACTTAAGTCGGATTTTGGAATAACTCCATTAAGCCACATCCCTGATGCTCCTGGGCTTAGCTAACTATGGGACTTCACCATCTTGAGATGCTCTGTATTAAGAGGAGACAAGTGTGTGTGCAAAGCACATTTAGGTGCAGGATAAATGCAGGTGTGCCCCATGAGGACTGGCTGACTGGGGCTGCATAGACGGCTGAGCCAGTCAGGCAGTCTCAATGTTGTGTACCCATGACAGCCTTTCTGCTTCTGCTTCCTAGGCCGAGATTTCTCTCATGATGACACCTTGGATGTTCCCACACAAGTGGAGCTGCTCATCAAACAAGCAACATCCCACGAAAACCTCTGCCAGTGCTACATTGGCTGGTGAGTGTGCTCTCAAAGAAGCAAGAGGCTGTCAGAATCAGCATGCTCAGGGGGCCAGGCATGGTGGCGCATGCCTTTAATCAATCTCAGTAGAGGCAAGCAGATCTCTGTGAGTTCAAGGCCAGCGAGGGATACACTGTCTCAAAACAATAATAGGACTGGAGAGATGGCTCAGCAGATAAGAGCACTGGCTGCTCTTGCAGAGGACCCAGGTTTGGTTCCTAGCACCAACACGGTGGCTAACAAATATCCATAACTTCAGTTCCAGAGGATCCAATGCCCTCTTCTGGCTTGTCTTGCCACCAGGCTAACACACAGTGCACTTACATACATGCTGGCAATAACACTCATACACATAAAATAAAAATAAAATAAATTATTAAGAAATAATAAATTAAAAATAGTAATAATGAAACAATCAGGCTGGGCCGTGGCTCATTCCTTTGATCTCAGCAGAAGCTCGGGCAGGTAGATCTCTGCGTTTTAGGCCAGACTGGTTTATATAGTGAGTTCCAGGTCAGCCATGGCTACATAGTGAGACCCTATCTCAAAAAAATAAAAAATTTTTAAATGAAAATCAGCATTGAAGCCTCAAAGCTAAAAGATGATTTGGTGGAACAGCTGTAAAGGACAGCTAGGGTTCACATCTCTTCGGAAGTTTGTAGTCACTGTGTGTACTCCTTATTTAACAAGGTTTGAGAAAACATAATTTAAAAGAACTGCACTAAGAGCAGTGGTTTAAAATGGGCAGGGCTCCTTATTTATCTGTGAGTATTTTTGGATTTTTGCCGTTACTTCAGAGATTCAGAAAGGGTCCAGAGCAAGCCTGAGCAATGACAGGGAGGATGACAAGACAGTGAGGACCTGGCAGTGCCCTGTGTTTGCCCAGGCACACCTGGAGACAGAAGCTTCAGAGAGGGGCGGGAGAAGTGTCTGTATGGACCTCAGGGCATTAGCCCTGGACTGGAGATGCCGAATATGTCCCACTTGGTCTCTAGGAATGCTCTGGGGCTTTCCAACATGGACTCTGCCCTTCCAGGGTATCTGGGTAAAGCTCTGAAGAAGCTCAGGTGACTGACACCCGCCCTTTGCTGTTTGCCTTCTAGGTGTCCCTTCTGGTAACTGGAGGCCTGGTGTACCACAGCATCTCTGACTCTTGTGTTTTGGTCTGTGCTTCCACTATACTGAAACCATGGTGATGAAGTTGGATGTTGTTAAATATTTTGAAATGTAAATGAAAAGAACTACTGTATATTCAAAGTTGGTTTGAACCAACTTTCTAGCTGCTGTTGAAAAAGATACTGTCAGAAACACAAGGCTTGATTCAGTTCCCAGGACAGTGAAACAGTAATCCTCCATAAGTCAAGCCATTGATTCTGAGGGAACAGAAGATCCATAACTTAGAAATACGGGTTTTGACTTAACTTACAAGAGAGCTCATCATAAGCATTTGCTGACAGAAAAGCCTGGTTGTTCCTCTCAACCTGGGTCCAGCAGACTCAGCACAGTCAGGAATGCCCAGGTCCTGGAGGACACTGACCAGGTTCTCCCATAGTAAGGAAGCAGACTTCAGCACTCCACCCATCCTGTTACCTCACTGGTCCCTGGACAGCAGCGGCAACATTTGCAGGATGAGCAAAAGTGAGTGAAAAGATCTGTCTTCTGTCTGACCCAGGGATGCTGCAACTCACAAGACCTGACTTGCCAGGAAGGGCGATTGTTCAGATGCCTGGCAGCCTTGGCCAAGCAGGTACACCAGGGATCGCATACAGTGCACCCGTACTGGCCCTGCTGTGTTCATTGAAGGCTGAATACCTGTGCTCAGAGCAGGGGCTCAGAACACAAATGCTGTCATGGAGGCGCTGAACACAAAGGGACATACTATGAGCAAGGTAAATATTCAACTCAGTGCACAAAGTATAAAGCATACCATGTCTAGACACCATGTTGTATCTGAATAACTTTTGTGCCAATAAATGACATCAGAATTTTAAAAACATGCATTGGCCTGGCTTTTTATTCATAATTATTCTAAAAAGAAGCATTGGACTGGGGATACAACTCAGCAGTAGGCTGCTTACCTAACATGCACAAGGCCTGCATCAGCTCCGAGTCCTACACAAGTAAGAAGGGATCCAGGCATAGTGGCACATGCCATTATAGTCCCAGCACTTGAGAGGCCAAGGCCAGAGGATAGGCATTCAAGACCAGCCTCAGACCTGCCTCAAAACTGGGGACTGAACCAAGCATGTTAGTACACGCCTTTAGGAGGCAGGGGCAGGTGGATCTGTGAGATTGAAGCTGGCCTGGGCTACATAATTAAGTTCCAGCCCAGGTGGGGCTACAGGGAGACCCTATCTCAAAAAGACAAA